ACATGATGGCAGGAGTGGACAGCTGGTAAAAGTGCCCAGAGCCAGCCAGGAGCCGGCACAGTTCCCATGGTCTCGGCCACGCAAGTGGGTGTGGGTTCAGCCCTCTGTTTGGGGACCCTGTCTCTCCCGGTCCACCCCTCTGCCCTTCCCTGTGAGCTTCCAGACTTCCGGCCCCACCCCATGCTTGGGGAGCTCGGGAGCAAGACCATCCAGTCTTCACCAGCATGGCCATCAGCCCAGGATCTGGCTCCATGATCCTTTTGGATCCCAGTCCTGTCCCCTTCACTCCAAGCAGCCCCACTGCCCCCCCCACCCAGGAATGCCAGGACTCTGGCTCTACCTAGCTGGTCCCCTCCCCCACCCAGACCTTCCTGGGGTGATGGTCTTGTCCCCCAGCTATAGCTCTTTCCTCTTTCTCCCTCTCTACCTCCCCCTCCTGTCTTCCTTCTCTCTTACTCCCACACCCCTCTCTGCTTTCCCCTCCTCTGTCCATCCACCTGGCCTCGGGCAGAAATCTCAACCCCATGATGACCTTCCAAGAACTTCTGTGACAGGGTCTCCATTTCCCATCTACAGAGAGGGGAGGCCCATTAGCCTCAGGCCTCTGGTGCATTTAGGAGCAGAGTTGGGGGGGAGCCTGTTGTCCTGACATCAGAGTAAAGAAGCCAGAAGAACAAAGAGCTGAAAATAGCACCTTTATATAAGAGCCTTCACTGTGTAATGAGGGGATGAAGGAGGAGATACCAGGGAACTGGGCTGGAGCAGGGGGGGAAGGAAGAGGAGGGCCTCGTTTTGCTGAGGTGACACCTGGGCCAGCAATCACCTGGAAGCATCACCGCTTCCAGAATCACGAGTCCCCCTGGCAGAGGTCAGCATGGGTGGCTGCCCTCCATCATTTCATTTTATTTTGGCCCCATAGTTCCCTCAGACCAGACTCCTGGGATATCCGGGCCCAGACTGGGCCAGCTCAGACAAAAAGAAGTGTTTTTCTCTGAGAGGAAGGGATTTTCTGAACCATCACTGATTTGAGGAGGAAGGAGATGGAGGGAGCAGCTGGTCCTGAGGGCGTCCTGGCTCTTGCAGCAAGCAGTCTGAATAGCAGAGTCAGACCTTGAATATGGCTCTGCTTCCCGCCTCATCCTTGCTGTGTGACCTTGGGCAGGTGGCCTTCCCTCTCTGAGCCTCAGTGACCTCAGCTGTAGAACGGATGAAGGGCCCCCTCTAGCAGGACTCATTGAGCCACTGAGTCTAAACCCTCAGCCGGTCTCTGGCCTCAGTGGGTGAAGGAAGAGGGGGGCCCCAACCAGCTGGCTTTTGTGGGGGGGCACGATGAGGAGGCCAGGATGCACAGGCTGGCTCCTGCGTGAGCTCTGACCTTGATCCTCCTCTCGAAGCCTGTTCCTCGAGCGTTTCTGCTGACGCATCCCCAGGGTTCTTAGCCTGCTGTCTGTAGCTATTTCAGATGCACAAGGAACATGGCTCGGGGACTCGGGGCTCCTGAGCGTCTGGATCTGGCAGATGGGGTCTGGCAGGGCCTGGCTCTGACCCGTCTGCTATTTGCTCCACTTCAGGCCTTCCTCCCAGGGCTGGAGATTTCTCCCCGCTCCTCCCCGCCCCTCCATCCTCACCCTCCAGACTTTCCATCCCTGCCTTCTGAGTCGGCTCCAGGATGCTATTAATAGCAAGGACAGGCTGAGGCCAGGGGCCAGTGATGGCTATATTGTTTCGGGTCAGCAAGGAGCTGACTCCCAGGGCCTTCTGGCTCCTACGATATCGGGGCCCTATCTCATTCTGGGGTCAGGGTAGTGCTGCACGGGCTTTGGGGCTACCCCCACCCGGGTTAGAAACCTGATCCACTGTAGAACGTCTGTGTGGTCTTGGACAGGTCACTTCCCTCTCTGAGCTTAAATGTAGAAGCTGTGAACCGGGGAGGATGCCAGGGCCTGCCTCACAAGGAGAATCAAATGAGATCCTGTAAGTAAAACGCCCGGCCGAGGCCTGGTGCTCCCCAGTTGGTGGTTAGTTCTCTGCCGTACCTCTAAGCGAAAGTCACACCTGCTCTGTGGTCTGTGGCAAAGACATGCTTGTGCTGTCAGGGCTCTGGATCCTTCCTCTCTCTCTCCCAGGGGCCCAGTTGCCACTGTCAGCCACATCAGTGATCCTGAACAACAGTGTGTGGGCACCTGCTGTGTGCATGGCCCTCTGCAGGCTGTTGGGGATGCAGTGACCTGCCCATCATTTACCCCCGTGAGCCAGGGCTGCCTGGTAAATGCTTGTTGACTAAATAAGTGCCCAAAGCTCTGAATGTACCAGAACAGGACAGAATGCTGTGTCTTTGGGCCCACCGTGGACTGTCCCCTGAGCCCCCCCGGGTGCCTGCAGGTTGAGCCCAGGGACAGGCGGCAGTGGCTGCATCTGAGTGTGGCAGAGGCCCCTCCTGCCTGAGCGCTCCTTAGGTGTTAATACGTCAGGCCCACGCGAGAGGGACTGCCGTGAGCCCATTCTGCAGATGAGGAAACCAGCATGGAGCGGACCAGGGATTTGCCCTCCGTCCCCTGGCTGTGAGGGGCAGAGCTGGGGGTGATCTCAGAGAAGCCAGGAGTGGTGCCGCTTACGCAGTGCATGGGAGGGCAGCCCTATCACTGCCCCTCCCGAGGATCCCCTCCTGTCTTTGCATCCCTGAGGCTGCCGGCAGCACCTTCCCGTGAGCCAGTATACAGGGGACAGGGTTGGAGATAGTCGGGACGCTGAAGTTTGCATGGAAGCCTCAGCTTTGTTGGTAAAATGAGGCAGGTGTCCCAGCCTGACATCACGGGACCAGATGAAGAGGCCTGGGTACAAAAGGCTCTAAGCCGGGAGGGTTGGAGGGTTCCCATGACTGGTCTTCGTGATTACGTGTCCTTTGCCTGCCCAGGATGTTCAAGGCTCCAGGAGCATCATTCGAGATGGGGATCAGTGTGGAGTGACCTGGCAGCCTGTGTCCCAGGGAGTATGGCGTCAGGGGACCCCTCCCTCGCTACCCACTGCCTTCACCCTAATCCGAGCCACCATGACTGCTCTCCACGATGGTCTGCAGTAGCTGCCTTGCCTAATTCTCTGCCTGCTGGGGCCCCCTTCATGCCAGCCTGAGTGATTGATGGATTCATTCACCCATCAATTCATTCACGATTCATTTACTTAGTAAATATTTATCAAGCAGCCACAGTCCTAAACACTGAGGATAGAGTAGGGACCAGGTAGTCACAAGTCCTGCCTTTGAAGAGTTTTTACCCTAATAGGAGAGACAAACAAGAAGCAAATCAATAATATAACCTCAGGTGGTGGTAAATCTTATACAGAGAAGTGAAGCAGGGTCAGGGGTTAGACGGGGGTGTGGGGGTGTGGAGGGGTGCTGTTTTAGACAGGGCTGGTCCAGGAAGGCCTCACTGAGGTCAGAGCTAAATGAAGTGAGGGAATGAGTCTGTGGGGGCAGGGAGAGCAGTGAGTGCCAAGGCCCTGGGGTAGGAACCATCCCATCCTGTTGGAGGAGTAGCAAGAAAAGGCCCCGTCACCAGGCACAATGAGTGCAGGCTTTGGAATTTTCTCCAGGGAAAATGGAAAGACCCTGGAGGGTTAGGAGCTGGGGAGAGATATTATCTGACTGATGTTTCAAGGATTGCATCCTGGCTGTTGGGTGAAGGACGCGTAAAGGAGAAAAATAAACCAGGGCGGGGCGTAGGGGTTGTGATTTTAGGTGGGGTCATCAGGGTAGACTTCTTGGAGGAGGAGATATTTGGGGAAGGTCTTGAAGGAGGTAAGAACGGAGTGTGCCTTGTGGATAGCTGAGTGGGAGCATGTTCCAGGCAGAGGGGACAGGCAGTGTGAAGGCCCTGACGTGCCTGCATTGTTCCCGTGTGGCTGGAGAGGGAGTGAGTAAAGGGAATCTTCACAGAAGACAAATTGACCATGTCGCCATGGCAACCCACTGCCCTCAGCCTCAAGTCCCAGCAGCTCCATGCTTGAGTCATGTGGAACAGCTCGAAGATTCTCATACCTCCTTCCTGCTTTATGCATGCCCTACCCTCTGAAACACCATCATTGCCTCCCCTGCCCAACTCACCCACAAGAATCAACTTTAAGCCATGCTCCCTACTCCAGGAAGCCTTCCTTGATAACCCCTCCCCAGCTGTTTATATGCCTGTAACTCCTCACTCTGTGCACAGTCTCCTCCTTGCTTGCTTGTGTTGAACCCACTTCCTCGAGGCTCCTGAAGGCAGGGGTGGTGTCTCCCCTCCTCTGTGGCCCCAGGCCCTCATCAGTCCAGCGTTGATGGCTGCACTTGAGACGTGAACCAGGTGTTGGTGGCAGAGGCTCGTTGCCATCCTGGGCTCTGTGGGGTGGAGAAATGGCTCCCCTGAGCCCTCAAGAGAGCTACTTTAGAGAGGGGTGCTGCTCAGCCTCCCAGGGACGGCCTGCACATGACCTAACGGCAGCTCAGTGTCACTTGAGGGAGCATGAGGCTTCTTCTGGTGAGTTAGAGAAGGAAGCAAGAAATGGGCATTTTTGCAAAATAAGGTATGTTTAAACCTTAACTACCTGCCTCACAATTAAAACCATTAAAATTAAAAAAGAGAGAGACTCTACCTCTCACTTGCATCCTGCCATTGTCACACCTTCCTGGGCTTCTGTCTGTGAGCACCTTTGGATTTTGGAAGGCTCTGAGCGTGTGGAGTGTGGCACCTGGGGCCCAGCTTCGGGAGTTCCCAGCCCAGGCCAGAGCCACCCCACAGATAGTTCAGGGGAGGCCTGGAAAGCCTCAAAGAAAAATTGATTTCAAAATGACCGGCAGGAAAATTGACATTAATTTTAATGTGTAAATTTCCCAAGAGCGGGGCATGTCAGGACAAGCAGAACCACAAGAAGGTGTCACGGGGCCCATCATGGGTTGTGGTATCTCGGAGGGCAAAACTGCTTTCTCCCTCTCAGTTTATATTTGCTCAGATTGCTTTCTTCGTTTCTAGAACACTCTGGACCTGGAGGAAACTGGTGAGGTTGTCCAGGGCAATATGAACACCCTCCCAGATGTTTCCCTGGTAAGGCCCTCTCTGGCTCTTTCCCTGAGTTTTGCCCTCCCTGGTCTGCCTGAGGCCCTGGGGGGCTGGCTCCTCAGTGAGAGCCATGGGGAGGGGACAGAGGCTCTCAGACCCGGCCCCAGGCCTGTGCACAAGGGCGTCGCTCAGCCCTCTCCGGCGGCGGGAGCCGGGACTACTCTCATCCCTTTCTGGGGATTTCAGGCAGGGAGTCAGGCTGTTTGTTTGCCAAGTAGGTGTTACTTTTGATGTGTTATCTGAATGTTATCATAACTGACACACGGAGTGTGTGAACTCCCTGAAGAGGCCATGTGACCACACCACACCGGAAAGGGAAGTTAAATGTGACCTTGGACCCCTGTGTGCACATCCACAGCCTGGGCAGCATCACTCTGATTCTGACCCAAATAACTTCTGAATGGCCTGGACTCTGGAACCAGCTGCCTGGGTTCATATCCCACCTCTGCCACTGACTGTGTGACTTCGGGCAAGTTTCTTAACCTCTCGGTGCCTTAGTTTTCCCCTCTGTAACATGGGGATAATAATTGTGTACCCGCCCCACAGTTTGTGGCCAGGGGTAAATGAGTCCATTTAAGTAAAGCGTTTGGGACAGTGCCTGCTCTGATGTCAGAGCTTTCAAGTGCTGGATGTTGGCCTAGGCAGAGGGAAAATGGCAATGCCCGTCTCCGCCACTGCTGCTCACCGTGCACCTGCTGGACGGCAGGCACCTGCAAACCCGTGGCGCACGGGGCTTCTCACGTCCCCACACTCCCGCTGCGCAGGTGCAGGTTCCCCACTGCCCAGAGAGGCGCTCCGAGAGGCTCTGTGCCTTGCCCAGGGCCACACAGCCCCCCGAGCCCATGTGACTGTCCCCTTCCGTCCATTCTCTCTCCCTCCAGCCCCGCGCATCTCCTGTCTCTAGGAGCCACGATAATCTTCCCAAAAGAAAAGCCAAAGAAATGCTTTTTCTGTTTTGTTTTGTTTTGTTTTTTCCCATTCTCCGCATCTACCTCTAATTAAGTCTTGTTCCCTGTGACAAGGCCTGGCTGATGCCAAGAGCTTCAGTTCCCACAGGTAACGTTGCCATCCAGGGAGATGCACGCCAAGATGCCGACGCTTATCAGCTGCCGAGATGGGGGGAGCAGTTTTCCATTGGGGTGTTGCATTATTCAGAGTAGCGTGGCCAAGAGCTGATAGAGCGGGACAGCATTCCAGCCGCGGCCTGGGCCACTCGGGGCTCCCCTCCACCAGCTGCAATGGGCTCTGACTCCTTCCACTCCTGTTGGGTCTTTTGGCAGGACGATGTGAAAGCCTCCGAGGCGCTGCCGAGCTCCAAGCCGCCGCCTCCCCCACCGCCTCTGTCCCAAGGCCACAACAGGCCGCCCGCCCAGCCGAGGAAGCCGGGGAAAGAGGACCTCCAGCCACCGTCCTCCGCGTCTTCCCACTCGGGCATCGTCTTCTCGGCCCCCAGGAACCGCAGCCCAGCGGCGGGCACCGCGCCTGCCCCGGGGGCCGCCTCAGCACAAGACTCGCCCTCCTCCCCCATCTATGCCTCTGTCCCCCCTGCCAAGCCCGGCTCTAAGAGACCGCTGGACGCCCACCTGGCCCTGGTCAGCCAGCACCGCATCGGCCCCTTCCCGCGAGTCCAGTCGCCCCCGCACCTGAAGAGCCCCCCTGCAGAGGGTGACTGCCTCCCGCCACCCTCCCCCTCCGGCCAGCCCGACGCGGCGGGCACAAACCAGCACTTTGTCATGGTGGAGGTGCACCAGCCCGACAGCGAGCCGGACGTGAACGAAGTGAGGGCGCTGCCCCAGGCGCGCAGTGAGTACTGGCCGCCCCCGCGGGGGCTGGGCTCGGGGCGCCCCCTGAGCCGTCCCGGGGCCATCCAGGCCGATCTGCGAATCCGCATAGAGTGGAAGTGTGCGCAGGGTCAGAGTGCCCCGGGAACAGGGTCCTGAGCCCGTGTGGATGTGGGTGTGAGCCCTAGCTCTGCCACTTAAGAATTGTGTGACCACGGACAAGCCATGGGATGGAGATTCGGTGACAGCCCCGCCGGGTGTCTGGGAGGGTTGGGCTCCTCTTCCAGCGCCCCCAGTCCTGGCCACCCTGCAGTCTCCATCTCCCCAGTGAGACTGGGCTCCTTGAGGACAGGGGTGGCCTCTGTGATCTCTGTTCCCAGGACCTGGCATAAGGCGAGGGCTGGGAGAAAAGCAGGTATGGAAAGTACTGTCCCTGGACCCCCAGAGGTCTCCAGATCCGGGGGGCTGCAGGGTCAGAGTGCAGGCTCGGCCTTGCAGACACCTGGGACGAGGCTGCGGCCCCAGAGTTTCCAGAGGGTGTCCAGCTGAGGAGGTGGACAGCAGTATAAGGCCGGTTTTTCCCTCGCAGAAAGCCGGAAACCTTGGCAGGCCCTAGATCTGGCTCTAGATCGCCTCCCTCCCCTTAGCAAGTTGTGTGCGTTTTGCTGGATTCTGCTGCCATCTTGTGGCTAATGGGATGTATAGGTCCAGCCGTGGCCAGGGAAGGTGGCAGGCCAGGCCAGGGGCTGTGAACTGAGTGCCTGCTGTATGCCAAACAGTGGGCACACTAGGATGCAGAGTGCAGGGTCCCTGGGCTCAGGAGCTCGGTGAGGGAAGGCAGCTGAGGGGACAGCAGGCAGGATGTGATGAGACAAACCGGAGGTATCACCTGGCCCTGAGCCCAACACACGATAATAAAATCCGCCTGTTGTGCAGGGTTTCCTGGGCACCAGATACGGTTCTGGGGGCCCTGCCTCTGTTAGCAACTCGCCTAACCCTCTCAGCAGCCCTGTGAGGCTGGTACTGTTGTCCCCATTTTACAGATGAAAAAGCTGAGTCACAGAAAGTTAACGGTGGGGCAGTCTTGCGCAAGTCTGTTCTCTTGCAGGCTTCACTCTATACATCGTATCTAATTAAGTCCTTATGATAATGCTTCTAGATGGGCATCATTGCTCCTATGTTGGAACAAAACCAGGGAGGCTCAGAGAAGCTATGTAACTCACCTGGCGTTGCTCGAGCTGGGCACAGAGGATTCAGACCTGACCTGCTGGTCTCTAGACTGTCTCAGATTCAGGGGCCCAGCCGTCACACACACAGCAAAGCAGCTGGGGTTTGACTGGTGAATGAGGGTATGTGCCCACCACTCAGCTCAGGCCAGTGGGGTTGTGGAGGGTACAGACCAGGCATGACAAACCTTCCCTTGTTTTATTGAGAAGCTAGAAATTTTTTTTTCTGTGAAATACCCTAATTTGAATGTGTTGGTTCATCATTAAAATTTGACAGCATTGTGCAAGTTAAAAAAAATAATAATAACCCACATCTGTAGGCTGGGTTTGCCTCCTGACCTCTGTTTTCATCACTATGCCGTGGGCTGAGAACTGGGTGGTCAGAGCAGAAGTCTTGGCAGCCTCGGGACCAGCCCCGAGTGGAAGGGCAGATCTCAGTGGTGGAAAGGTGGTGGGGAGTCTCGCCTCCCTCCGGCCCTGTGATCCCTTCATTCCTCCCTAGTCCATGCCTGGGGAATCCCCACAGCCTTCCAGCAGGCAGCCCCATCACCTCCTCCAGGAAACCCTCCCTGACCCCAGCGGTATAAACTGCCACTCTCCTCCCGTTCCCCCTCCCAGCAGGCTCCACACTCTCCCAGCTCTCGGACAGCGGGCAGACCCTGAGCGAGGACAGCGGTGTGGACGCCGGTGAGGCAGAAGCCAGCGCCCCGGGCCGAGGCAGACAGACGGCACCCACCAAGAGTAGGAGTAGCAAGGAGCCACCTCGGGACGAGAGGACCACAGAGGGGGCTGCCAAACCGGTGAGTGAGGAGGAGGGGATGCAGAGGACTGAGGGGAGGGCAGCCCCAGGTGGGGAACAGCAGGTCCCCGAGCAGGATTCAGCTTGACAAGTGACCACCATGGGGAGGAAGTGAGCCCCCATCACCAGAAGGATGTGGGTCCCCAGAGCAAACACTGGATCAGGAGTCTGGAGGCCCAGTTTAGGTCCCACTTTGGCCACTGACATTGACAAGCCAAGCACTAAAATTTGGCCTTGAGGGTCTTCCAGCTCGGGTCTGAGTTGGCGTGCTGGCTAAGGCAGTCAGGCCTGGGTCTGAGTCCTAGTACCACTACCAGGCAGCCTTGGGCCTTCCCCTTAACCTCCCGAGCCTCGGGGGTTATTGTAGCAATCAGAGAGCTGGGAACACCAGTTCTTAGCTTAGTGCTCGCATTCTGGCGCTCCCAGCCCGGGGCTGGAGTCTGAGCCCTTTTGACCCAGTGGCATGTCATGGCCAGCCCAGCCCCCTCCCCCCGCCCCCAGCCAGGCCTGTCCACTGAGAAGGCCTCAGCACTGGTCTCCTTGCTCACACGCGCAGCCTGGACTCCTGGAGCCCATGTCCACCCTGGTCCGCGTGAAGAAAAGCGCGGCCACCCTGGGCATTGCCATCGAGGGTGGTGCCAACACCCGCCAGCCCCTGCCTCGGATCGTCACGATTCAGGTACCTCCGTGGGCCCCACTCGACCATCTCTCCCTACCCCTGAGGGCCCCTCTCTCAGCATCCCCAGGGTTCTGCCACAGACGCCCACCCCCACCCCCCGGGGATGACCCGGCCGCCAAAGGCAGACCCAGGCCCTTTGCCCTCCCTGAGCCTGTTTTCCTCGTCAGGGCAGCGGACACCCAGATTGTAGCCTGCTTGGCGGTGTTGGGCCTGACCTGGCGGGTGTTTAAGGCAGGCCAGCCTCGCCCTCAGCTGCCCCGAGTGCCCCTGCCCTGTGTCTCGCCCCTGCAGCGAGGTGGTTCAGCCCACAACTGTGGGCAGCTCAAGGTGGGCCACGTGATCCTGGAAGTGAACGGGCGGACACTTCGGGGCAAGGAGCATCGGGAGGCGGCGCGCGTCATCGCGGAGGCCTTCAAGACCAAGGAGCGAGACTACGTCGACTTTCTGGTCACCGAGTTCAATGTGATGCTCTAGAGGCGGAGGCCCGGAGGCCTCCCACTATTGCCCAGTCCCCGGCCCCGGCCCCTCCTCCCTCCTGGCACTGTTAAGCTCCTTGAGGGCCCGAGCTGCATAGCCAGGGAGCAAGAAGACGTCCCCCGACTCTTTCCCGGCCCACTGGCCCGGAACCAGGAGAAGAAAGCCGGGGGAGGCAAACAGAAGGTCAGGTCGGGATCTGGTGCCATGCGTGGGGTACACGGTAGGCGCTCAGTATAAGCAGTGGGTGTCAGGAAGGAGAGAAAGTCCACCTGAGGCCTGCCAGGGCCTGTTCCCCTGGGTTGGGGAGGGGCACTGGTCCCCGTTCCCCCGCCAGCTAGGACCTGGCCCATCCTCCAGATGTCTGAGCCTTTATGTGGAGTGAGGCCACGCGAGAATTCGTGGACACGGCCCCCAGCCCAGGGGGCATCTCGAAGGACCTATAGTGCCACAAATAAGCATCAAGCACCCCCCCCCATTCACACCCCCATTCTTCCTGGCTCCTCATCCCCCCATAGTATTTATTATTTATTTCCCTCTCCTCACCCCTGGGGACCCCAAGACCCCAGCTTCCCACCCCGTGCCCAGCCTAACCCAGAGGCCTTGCAGGGGACGAGTGATGTCAGTGTATTTATATACAGAGCTTATGTCTTTAATTTTTCAATAAAGAAACCTGAACAAGGTTAGGGTCCAGCGTGCTGTGTGGCCTGCCTTTGTAGCTGGGTTTTGATTGCTCCACCTGAGGAGGGGGGTTAGAACAGAGCAACACACACCACCGGCCTCTCCCCCGCCCCCCACGGCTCCGTGTGGGACACACAGCAGGTATGTGGGGGCACCCGAGCCACACCCACATCTTGGAGCGCCTTACTTGAAGGTCGTTCACAGAAAATACTTTTAAATTAAAACACACAGGTGTGTCGTGGGACCGAATGCACAATGTGCAGGGAGGTTTTCAGACACAGGGAGGTGGCCTGCCTCAGGGGGATCCCAGAATCGGACTCCGTGATGAGTCACCGTATGCAGGTGATTCATGAAGGCAGCGCTTTAGTTAGACCCGTAGGGAGTGGAGAAATCCGGATGGGGAAAGGGAGGAAGCCAAGCAGGGGGGGATTTCAGGGCAAGTCCCTGGAGGGTGGCAGCGACCTGATCCCACAGGGGGCTCTGGAGTCTAATTGAGCCCAGAGTCATCCCCACTCAGGGCAAGGGGACAGGGCTTTCGTGCTGTCAGTCTTTGGATAAGGCCTGGGGAGGAGAAGGGGGAGAGAGGCAGTAAATTCCCAATCACATTCCCATTCTTCACCTGTGCAGGCCAAGCTGTTCCAGGAGCCAAGGGCAGGGGGTGTTAGAGGCAAAAACACATGGGGGGGGGGGGGTTGCAGAGAAGGGAGGGGGGCAAAAAATGGTCTTCTGCACAGCCCCCAGGCCCATTTCCTTCAACCCCAGGGTTTCTCTGGGACAAGAAGACTCTGAGAAGTCCTGCTTTGTGCAGCCCTGTGTTCAGAGGTCAGCCAGAGGTGGGTTAGGGCAGCTGATTCCACAGACCTGCACCAGATCTTGCTTTTAGCTGCCCCTGCCCTCTCCCCAGCCCAAGGAGACGACCTGAGGCCAGGGCCCAGGATTCCACTTGACCTCTGAAGCAGCCATTATCTCTGAAACCCCAGCCTCTCCTGCAGGAACTCTGTATGCCCCTTCCCAGTCCTAATACCCCTGCAGGGAATAACTCCCACCTGGCTGTCAGGCCCCAGATCTCCTGGCATCAGATGCCAAATCCTTCATGGTCAGGGGCCGGTGACCTCACCTTTCTAGGCCCCAATTCCCCATCAGGGAAAATGGCTGTGGTAAACTGAATAATGACCTCAAAGGTATCCAGGTTCCTGCGATGTGTGGATGTTCCCTTTTGTGGCGAAGGGACTTGGCCTATGGGATTAAGGCATTTAGATGGGGAGTTTGAGCTGGATTTTGTGGGCGGGCCCCATGTAAGCCCAAGGGTCCTTGTAAGAGGGAGACAGAGGGAGACTTGATGGGAGGAGGGAAGTGTTGGTGTTGCGGGTAAGGAAGTAGAGGTTGGGATGTGCTCTGAAGATGGAGGGAGGGACCTACCAGACCAGGAATACAGGCAGCTACTAGATGCTGAAAAAGTCAGGGAAAGAGATTCTCCCCTCAGAGCCTGCAGAAGGAACCCGCCCTCCTGACACCATGAGGACAGACTGACTTTGGACTTCGACCTCTCTTTGTAAGAGAACAAATGAGGGCTGTTTGAAGCCAAGAACTGGGGATAATCTGTTACAACCACCCCAGGAAACAAATGGAGTGGGGCCACGACTACTTGCCTCTGATGGAGGTTGGGATGCTGGGCATGGGCCCCCCACACCAGGCTCAGAGTCAGGCTTAGAGTCAGCCCCGGGAAGACCATGGCAGTCGGGATGATGGTGACGGTGAACCAAGGGCCCTCTGGCCTTAGAAATGCCACACCTTTTGCAGTCTCAAGTCCTCATGCATCTTGTTCTGAACTGAGAGGTTTTCGTCTATCACCAGCCCACAGTGAATTTCAGCCCAGCTGCTGACCCACTCTATGAACTCTGGGCAGGTCGTGACCTCGTGACCATCCGTGCCTTGAACCAGCCAACTCTCCACAGGGTCCAACTCCAGGAGACGAGAAAGCTCCCAGCAGCTGCTGCCCACTGCTCCAGGTTTGAACTCTGAAAAAGCAGGGCAAGAATGAGTTTCTGGAGCTGTCGTTTCTAGAATTCTTGGGCCCTACTCTGGGCTGTGGCCCATTGGGCGTTAGGGTCCCCCTCCCAGTGGAATTTTAAACAAACTTTAAAAATATTCCTTTGCCAGTGGGCTGAGAAAGGTCAAGTTTCTTGCCCAAAGTTGCATAGCTAGTGGGGAGTAGAGGCCAAATTTGGACCCATGGCTGCTTGAAGTCCACATCATAAAGCCAAGGACAAGCATTGTGTCCTGCTGTCTTCTGAAGGGACCCCATACCATGGGTTAAGGCAACTTTGAATAATGGAGGAGGGAGGGGTCAGAGGTCCACCCTGGCCACACATACCTGTGGCCCTCACGACTTTATTCATGATGCCAGAATTAGGGCAGAGGGTGGTGAGGGGACGGTATTGCTAGAGAATCTCAGGGTCTGTTGCTAGACAAGAAGGCAGGAAGAGCATGTGTTTTTGGCCTGAGCCAGGGCCTGCCCAAGCAAGGGCTGAGTTGGCCTTCAGATTACCTGGAGCTCGCTCTGCTTGGGAGAAAACAGGGTGAGGGATAGAAGAGCCCCATGTGAGGAGTACAAGCATAGAGAACAAGACCCCGCTCAAAGGGGCCACGCTTCAGAGTCTGACATCTGCAATCAAATTCCACCTCTACTATCTCCTGGCTGTGTGATCTGGGGCAAGTCACTTAACTTCTCTGAGCCTCAGTTTCACCATTTTTGAAATGGAGGGCACAGTATTCGTCTAGCTTGTAGGTTATTATAAGGATTTGCTAAAATGTTCGCTGCTGGTACAGATGACACGTCCAGTGCACAGAAGTGCCCCTGTGATTATTACTGGGTGCCTGTAGGAGCCTCGGGCCCCCTGGGGAAGCGGAAGAGCATTCTGCCGGGAGGACAGAGAACTGCCTGCAACACAACGGGGCGCGGGTCCCTGGGGGAAAAGTCTTCCTGTCTTGGGGCCTATCAACCCCCTTGTGAAATAGGGTTGGTGGAGGAGCTCTTGAAGTGAGGGCCATTGATTTCTTTCTTCTGGGCTTGGCTCTGTGTTTATTTTACCCCTCCCCTCTGCAGCTCTGTGAGGCTGGCCTCAGGGATCCCATTTACCCGAAGTTCAGTGGCAGAACTGGGGCGGGAGCCGAGGTCAGGTTGACACTTTACACCGCCTTCCTTCAGGGTGAGCTCTCAGCGGACGACGGATCTTCTGTCGTGCACTCCCCGCGGCACTCCGGGCAAGTTCTTGTCCCTCTGGAGACCTGGGTTTTCCCGCTTGCTAATGGGGGTTTGGACTCGAACAGACTTGGAGGGCAGCGCCCACACCTACCTACCTCACAGGAGAGGACAGAGCATAGGAAGAGCTTACGACAGTTCTTGACCCATCGGAACTCAAGAAAAGTTTATTATTAAGGTTCTTATTACTGTTGCGGAGCAGCCCGTTTCAGCGACGAACGTTTGTGGTTTCTTCCTCACTGTGGCTCCATGCGACCTTGCACAAATGTCCTAGCTCTGGGCCTCAGACCCCTTTATGCACCGGGGCGGGTTCCAGGAGGGACACGAACCTCCCAGATGTGAGCTTCTCAGCGCCGGGGCCGAGTCCGAGTCCCTGAGGGCGGGCCGCCCGCGGCCGCCTCTCTGTGATTGGTGGAGCTTCCCGAGGCCCCGCCTCCCGGGGCCCTCCCCGCCCGTCACAGGCCCGCCTCGGGGATTAAGCAAAAAGTCACCGCCCCGCCCCGCGCCGGGATTGGAGGCCTTTGTTTGCCGCTCAACTCCAGGAAACCACCGGCGCGCGGCGACAGCCAGCAGGTGAGGCGCGGGGAGGGGCTCGCGGTGGGTCCCGGGCGGGTGCCGGCCCCTCGCTGGGTCTCAGTTTCTCGGTCTGGGGAATGGGGAGGAGAGTGGACAGCGCCGGCGGGCTCCGATCCACAGGGACTGCGCTGCTTTCGGCCTCTCCCACGTGGAAACCCCACGCGCGCGGGAAGGAGACCCGCCACTCCCGGAATGGGAGGGAGCCCTGGACCGGCGATTAGGGTCCAGTCCTAACCCCGCCGGCTGCGGGGTTCCGCAGTCCCCACCTTCGGCCTCAGTCTCCACCTCCGCACAATGGGGGCGTTGGCTTTCTCTCTCCCTCTCTCTCTCTCTCCAGCTGGGGCTGGTCTCTGGGCGGGGAGGGGTCCCGAGGGAATCCGGGGGTGGTCCTTGGCGGGGCCTCGGGCTGTGTTTGGGTTGGAGGTGTGGCCCGGGTAGCTGTGGTTACCGGGGAGGTGGGACTTCTCTGTCCTGGGATTTGTGCGAGGTTCGTTCACCCGGCAACAACCCGCGTAGCCTGACAACTCCGAGCCGCACAGCCTCCCCGTACGCCTACCGCAAGTTTCTTTTCCTCTTTTTGGCAAGGGGACAGAGGTCGAGCAAGGGCCAGCAGTGAGGGTGGGCAGCTCCGACAGTGGTAGGAACTGGAATGGACTGAGAAATCAGGCCAGCCTTTCTTGGTACACAGATGGGGAGACCGAGGCCCAGAGAAGGGGCGCGTCTTGCCCGAAGCGCACAGCAAGGCAGGCGCAGAGCGGGCCTCTCCCCAGTGTGATGGGGCTGGCGCGGGCGGTGGGCGATCTTGGACGAGACTCTTCCCGGTTCCTTTCGCCGGCTTTTGTTGAAAGCCGTGACCGGTTGGAGAGGATCATTACCTACGTTTCAAAAGCTTGTACTTCTCAGTGATAAAGTTGGAAAGGAAGGTTGTTGATAACAAACCCGGGCTATTTTGGAGCGGCGAAGAGTTGCTGGGACAGGTTGCAGAGAAAAGAGACATTGTTTCTGTCCTCTAGAACAGAAGGAGAAGAAATTGTGGACACCAAAGCGTGAAGGACTGAGGTTAGACACCTAACAGGGACTTCCCAAGAGAATTTTCCAGGCACCACCTTTGGAGTTGGTGGGTTTTAATTTTTGGCTGTTGCTTTTGTTTTGTCAAGAAAACAGAATCTCTGCCCCTCTGTTTGA